TAGTTTTGCTTTTCAGCTGAATGTGGCAAGTATTTTTTGGTGCAATGTATATTGCAGTTTCAGAATTTGGTCTTATTGAATATCTGGACTTTCACCTCCACTAGTCTGGCTTGACTCGTGCTCTTTTAAGTTTTTACTTCCTTCTCATAGTGCTTGTTTGAGTGGACAAAGCAACACGCCTTTTCTCTTTGTTTCTTATTGATTCTTTGTGAGCTGATTAACTCTTTGGGAAGTAGCTGTGTGTTTTTTCACATTTTCGTCAAAGACTTCCTATGGGTGATATTCAGCAGTCTGTAGTTATGGTTTCCCCTCCATCTTTCGTAAAGGTTTGTCATGAGGATCCTTGCTGTTTCATACTTCAATCTAACACATGCTTTCTAGACAAGAATCAGAAGTTTGACCAATGCTGCTGCTGCATCATCACGGAAAGTACTAGTACTACGATACTTTATCAAAGAGCAAGAACCTTTCTCCAAATTAGTGAAATGATTAGAGTGATCTACCTTTATGTGGTAACTAGCACCTGCTTTGGCTCAATTCTGTGCCTTTCTGCCACAATCTGAGTCAATACCTATGTTCATAACCATTAACAATTGCAAATAGGCACCCTTTCAACATTTGCTTAGATGTTATATCTAGAATCGCATCTGTGATCAAAGGTATTAGTTGTCCAGTGATGTCACTTTCCTCTGCTTTTTTCTCATCTCCAAACTTCTTGCTTGGTTATTACTCTGGAAAATGCAATAATTTTGCCACAGATGGGAAAGCAAGTCAAAGGATATTACCATTCTGCTGCACAAAGTCCACATGTTATCACTGTCAACTATTTCCGGAAAGGTGTATATCAAGGTTATAGAATATGTTACTTTGAGAGTTACAGATGTCAATAAACCATTAGTAGTATTTTAATATAAGATCAATCTCTCAATCTAACCCTAACCTTGTTCTTAAATATTAAATATACTCATCCCCTCAAAAAAGTGAACACTCTTGCGATTTCTTAAAATCTCAGGCATCTACGGTGTATCTGAAATTCTGAAAATCACAAACAATTGTGATGCAAGTATTTTTTCAGAAAAACATGCAATGCAACTAGATTCCTGGCATCTTAGCTTACACAGGTAGCATGTTACACCTAAAACCCTGACAACAGCAATGACTATCTTGGCAGAAGTTGATGCAGCAGTAACTGATGACCGATTGAGATTTGAGAGTTGCATATGTTAGTTTAGAAATGAATGCATAGGCCGTGCCACCAAGTAGCTTTACCAGTTCAAAGACACAATTAAACAGGTAGATTCTCACATTAATAAGCCTTTTTGGTTCTGCCAAAAAGATTAAAAGGCATTCTTGTTTTTCTTTTCTCTGGATTATTAATGCATCACATTCTAAATTTGCTTTGTGGGTTAAGCTCAGTTCTGAATTCTTGCGGGCTTGTTCAGAATGAATACCAGCTATACTCGAAGGCCATAAATGCAATAATCAGCTCCAGTCATTGTCTCATTATCCAAACACCAGTGGCTGGAAAGCCTGGAGTAGCAATTCCATGTGAAAAATCCTGAATGATGGTCCAGTGCCTTAATTGTACTTCAGGCTCCATTGTAGGATTTGAGCATGTGAATGAACATGGCAGGAGTTTAAGCATATCCAAGCCGCTTGGTACAGCAGACAGGTAGGACACTAGGACTCAGATGCTCCCCTTAATTCCAAGTCTTGAAGCCATCTTTCCCCAGCATAACTGTGGCGTATGCAACGTTAGTTTGTGGACCATGTTTCCTTCAAGTGGAGTACTCGCTTTTCCTCTTCAACTGTTCTTAAGAGCATCATACCGTTAACAATCCTATCCAAATAAATTCAAAATGGTGCTAAGGTGGACTTAAGTCTCTAATTAACAATTAACTCCCACAACTGTCCCCTACGCAGACATACACGCACGCGCTCACACACACATATATATTGAAATGATTATTTCAGTGCCAAGATATAAATAGGGATACTTACATCTATTGGTCCATAATATATAAAGAAAAAGATAGAGAGAGAGAGAGAGAGAGAGAGAGAGAGATCATAGATATAGGCAAATACAGAAAATTTGTGAACTAGTATCCATTTTTATTAGATAACTTCATTATATTTAAAACCTTCATTTATATCATGATGAGTAAAGAGCCTAACTGAACATGACTAATATTTTTCCCTTTTTTCTTTATTTAAAAAATCGATTTATGTTCTAGAATAGGCCTTAAAATTTCTACTATGTCAAAATCCACAGAGAATTACTTATTTTATCGTTTAGAGGAGGAAAATAAGAATTATCTTTTCCTGCACCTTTGGTACAACATATCCTTGAAGAAATTTCTATACGGAAAATGGCACAAAGGAAAGAAAAAAAAAAAACAGAAAAAGGAGAGAAAACGAAAAGAGTTGAAACAAAGCCCTGAAAGTTGGGCCATCAGCTGACATTATCTGCCCATAATAGACCATATATATTCACTGCCGGCCCGCAACTTTTAAAACACCGCTGTGGGAAATTTCAGAGACGAGAGTTGTTTATTTAGGCTTGGAACGCTCCAATTGAAAAAGAAAAAAAAAAAGTCCTCAATAGGGCAATTTCAAAATCCCTATTCAGAAATGGGCTTAGCTATATTACTCTCATAAACTCCATAGTCATCCCATGAATTTTCGACCATTAGTTTTGGTTAAGCCGTAAAGTTTACGAATTTTAATCTTGTTTAGACTTCTCAATTTTTGCACCAAATTTCAAGTTTTTACATAATCATATTTTGTACAGATTTAATTTTTCAAGACATTTATACAGAATCAAAATAAATTTAGATGAAATGTTTATTGCAGAAAGGATCTACGCGATCAAGACAAAACCCAAATAACAAACTGCGGCCGCGCAACAGAAGTAAAACTTGTTACGTTCAATCTTTTCGGGGCTCAGGTGTTCAATGTTTTAGAAGCCCCATTTGTGTCAAGGAAGGTTGATCCGATTGACCCATTTGAGAAAAGGAATTAGGTGGGAATATTTTTTGAAACTAACAGAAAAATTACAAAATATATACTTAAAATTTTTTGAATGAAATTAAAGGTTGTGATTGTAGAATTAAAAAAAAATGATTGTGATTCTAGAAGTCATAGTTCCGTTTGATAAAACTAAATCTAAATTTTGAAATCTGAATTCTGAAACAGTTAATTTGCTGAATCTTAAATATTAAAAAAATATATTACTATCTGAATCGAGCATGCCAGTGGGTATGTAGTAAAATTCTAGAGAGAGATATGATGAATAAAAGCAAATGTGGCAATTTGTTCCAAGTTCTAAGGGGCTTTGGGCGGAATGGGTATTGTAATTTTGGTATTGGAGTTGAAATGGGATAAATCCCAATTATACCTATTAATTGATGGGTCATTTTGGGAAATACAGATACTTCGATACCCATTAGGTCCAAATATCTTACCAAAAAATTTAATTTATCCAAAAATTTAGGGAGAAGATATGTTCATTCTTACCAAAATGTTATGTCTTTTTAAGCATCTGTTGATCATTCTAGAGTATAAATCAATGCTATTCAGGCTCAGTGGACTAATCTGATTACCCAATGCTACTACTTGCTGAGTCAAAAATCATTTTTTATGGTGGTTTATTTTATTCACCATGCAGATCTAGAGATGAACAGAAACTATTCACACTAATTTGATTATCAGCCACTGGTGTGTTCTATTCAGCTCTGTTCATTGTTATCTGTTTGATTGGTTGCATATGTGGAGTCATCAAAACATTTTGTTGAATTCTAATAGAGATTTTTTTTTTTCAAAAAATACCAGGATTTAATGTGGAAACCCTGGAGTACAAGAACATGAGGTTTACTATCTCGGAATTTGGTGGTCAAAACATTGCAGGTGATATGGTTTTGCCGGAAATTGAATTATATTCCGCAAAAATGAATTCAGGAAAATATAAATTCACAATAAGATCAAAAGAAATTTAATAAATCAAATATATTAAAGTTATATATATATATATATATATATATATATATATATATATATATAAAAGAATTAAAGGAAAAAATATAAAAAAAATAGATTTGGGTATTGGGCAGGATCAGTATAAATTCATTTCAAAGTGATCCCATCCAACTTAATCCCAAAATACATATGGATAAGAATAGACTCAAATCCATTGATTCGATTTCATCTCAAATCCAAGTAAATCTCACACATTCTGTCCATTTTGCCACCTCTAAATAAAAGGGACTGCCTATGACAAAAAGAGGTCTCCTATTGCTAAGTCGTTTGTAGCAAGTAGTAACAACCACTATCATGTCTTCTTTTTGAAAGGAAACGCACCATCATTTCTTGTGGTGCAAAAGTTTCACGGGAAGTGTTATTATCTGGTCTCTAGATAAATCAAATTTTTGCAAGCAAAAGGGACATGCAAAACCCAATTTAAATTGAGAACCATCACTTGAGAAAACAGAATTACAAGTTTAGAGAGGTGGTGCGCATCTCAACCAATTTGAATTTACTAAGCACAATCATTGGATGTTGGAGAGAGTGACAGACAGATTCGTCGTAGCTAAATGTTTGTGGAAAGGAGGAGAGGATCGTTGTTAGCTAGGAAAATGCGGTTCACAGCCCATAGCATAAAAAAAAATATTTACATAATGAATGTTTTGAAAGAAAATATATATCTAACTTATACTTGATTGAAACTTGCCGTCTAAAGGTAGTATGTATCATCACCATATTCATCCAACAGTCAGACTTGCAGGGTACTGCGATACACACTTTTCTGCTAAACTACCAAATCCTATGAGGCTATGATTTAAGTTAAAATTCATAGATAATTGCATAAGCTAAAACTTGAATCTATAATGACTTCTCAAACTACGAATTGAAACTATATAATCATGCTGAAGTTTTAAGAAGTTATTTGCATAGAAATTAGTAATCTATAGAGTATATATTCATCATCTTGATATTTATCCATCTTAGGCAAGTGATGACAACCACTATATGGCTTTTATTTTGATTCAACATATTAAACGGCCTTCCAGAGAGAGAGAGAGAGAGAGAGAGAGAGAGAGAGGATGGAGCTCAAAAGAGAAGCCGTACAGAAGTTCTTCGTCTAAAGTTATAAAGGCTATCCGACACAAGTACCACTAGAAGATCTCACACCCTAAGCTAAGTGTGCGAGTGAGACCTCAAGTACTCAGTCTCCTTCTAGCCAAGACCACCAGTTTGGAAAAACATTTAGATAGACTCAGTTTAAAGGTCTACTTGTAAATCGTGTGGTATAGTCAAGAATCACATGATCATGGCGATGATGTACGAGAATGTGGAAAAAGTATGTATGGAGAGTCTCTTGAATATACCACATGAATCGCAAGTAAGGCCGTAAACCCAATCTATCTAGGTGTTTACCAATAGTTTCTGTGAGTATACTGTGTACATCATCTCCTTTGCTAGTGTCTGTGCATTTTACAAGCTAGATTGCACTGAGGGATCAAGGTTTCAGAGAGAAAGAGAAAGCCTTGTGTTGACATCCGATTCACCCTTATTTTGCGCCATGTCCTTGTAGCTCCCAAGACTTCGGCTTAAACTGAGTTGTAAATCAGGCGACCACTCTTTGCCATCCAGGATCTTATGCTCATTCATCATCTGAACAGAAGGAAGGAAAAATTCAGTAAGATTAAAGAATGCATATTCAAATAATTGAACCAATGGTGAAAGAATGTTTATAGCAGAAAATGGGGCATTACCTGATGCCTGTACGGGGACTCAATTTTCAAGATGTTGGCAGGATTATTTCCGTTCGTTTCAACCCTTTCAGCTGTCAAGCTATCCCTACGATTCCAGTTAGCTCGCTGCATGAAGTAGGTTGCCCCGGCTGAATTTTCCGGTTGATGAAATTGATTATAGAGTGGTTGAAAAGGAGCATTGGCCCATTTGCTAGCTGTAGGGTCGACCCTTTTCTCTTTCAAGTGATGTGAACTGAATTCACGTGGTGGCCATCTTTTTTCTTCAAGAAAACTGCTAGGTCTAATGGGACCATTTCTTGTGGCTCCATGCATGGCATGAAATATGCTTGAATTGCAAGACTTGCCTTGACTTTTCATCATACTATCTTGATAGTAAGACCACTGCTGGAATCTGGAAACAGGAGAATGAAGAAAGAGAAGTTAATTAGTAACTTGGACCAAGTTTCATTGCCTTTGATCACCACTATTTAGGTTTATCAACTGATTACCTCGAAGAGAGAGATTTAGTCTCATAAGGAGATTGGAGTGATGCATTACTAAGAATATTAACAATGTTGTTTCCCCCATTGGGGTTGGAGGCTACAACAATTGCACCATTCTGGTATCTGAACTGCTCAACAGGGCTACACATTTGGTCCATTCGCCCTGAAAAGGGACCTTTTCCTTGCATCCCTCTTTTAGCTAGACCTATTACTGTCAATACAAAACAAACTAGTCAATCTAACTATCAAGACTTTTATGCGGCTAGTGGTTGAAAGCATGAACAGTGAAGAAAGTTAGAGTTACCTTGTCCAGATTCATCGAGTTTCTTGCTACGATACATCTGAAATCAAGGGGAAGTGATCAGGGAAATGAAGGATGCAGAAGTAGCAAAAGACACTAGTAGAACTAGTTGTAGCAAAAAGGAGCACTTTCTATACCTGCAAGTGACTTTTTACATGAGCAATGCTTAGTCCTCGAACGTTCATTAATTGAAGCACCAGTTTTGGAGTTGCTCCTGGCCAAGAAAAGTTAATTTAATTCCATGAGTGGCCATTGCTATATGTTTAGGAATCTTAACTAGGACAAAACTTCATGACAAATAATGGACTTGGAAAAAGCAAAACAGTAGCGAAGTTCTTTTTCTTACTTTCTTGACCACCTAATCTTTCAATTGCATGCACAAAAGAGAGATGGAGATCAGGTGTCCATCTGAGCCTCGGCAGTTTAGATCGATTATATTGACGAACCTTTTTCTCATTTCGTTCGACAGATGTACAATAATTTTCTGAGTTTCCTTCGCTTGATTTCTCGCAATCCACAAGACTCAAGTCAGGAACCTCACTACTGGTTTCCTCATCTACATTGCTGCTTGCTTCTTCATTCAAATCAATGGATGAGATATTCAGTGAAGAGTCTGGTGATGTCTGTGCTGTATCATCCTCATTTCTATCGCTCTTTAATTTTGCATTGACATCAGAATCTTCAACCATCGCTTCACAATTGAACTCTTCAGCTAAAGTAGTTGCACTTTTAGTTGACATTTATGGCTACACATGTTCAAGAAGTGAAAAGTAATTAATTATCCAGATCTAAAATTGGAAGAAGCAATTGGGAAATTAATAAATTAAAAGATTAATGGATACACATTGGGTACGCGTTAATTAAACATCTAAATCATATTTAACCTAGCATGTTAATACACATCATCCATCATAATTAATGGACTCCCCACATACGAAATTTTTTTTCAAATTAACTATACTTTTCCAAAAAAAAAATAATAGATTAATCTTATATACACTGACAGTGTATATACTTTCATCATTAGATGTTTGTCACATAATCTAAATTTGAATTTGAAACTCACATTTTGCATATGTGTCATACATTCAACCATGATAATATATATAATGTCAGCATATATAGGATTAACTCAAAACTAATACACGAAACGCCTTGTAACGAGTACCCAATGAGCACTCATTAATCGTAAATTTAGTTTTTCTTCTACATAAAGGAAGATACACCAAGGTGAGGTTATTAGCTGAATTTTGTGTTTTTTTGGATGTACATCCTTTCATTGTATGGTCATCAGTCTTTTCCCTATTCAATACTAATAACTTTCAACGCAGAGCACCCAACAAGATAATAACGGCATTGTTGCCGGTGTTACCCAGAGAAATTAAGTGCCATCTATGCAATAAGTTAGTTTTGGGGGAAAATGAAGTGTTGATCATGTAAGAAAATATTAAGTCTCTCTGAGTATGTTGTTCCAATGTGAAGCATGCATGGATCATTAGGGTTAAGATTTTCAACTACTCTATTTACACTTTTACAAAATAACACCTGTCTGTGACGTCATCGAACACCTATCCAAAATAATCTTTGTGACTACACCGATACCTAATCTTTTAATCTCATAGTAAGATTAAGAAGGATGAATATGTATATAGGTGTTAATGGTCCGATTACTAGTTCGTAGTGCAGGAGGGCAATCATTCGAATTTCTAATCATCCTATCTCCTCCCATGGGAACAAGAAGAAGGTCAAGAAAAAACAAAACAATTTTTTGTCAAGTAGCAAGCAACTAAAATATCCTTCATTCATGGGCTCATCTACCTACTACCTTGCCGAGAATTCACAGGCCACGAATAGATTATTGCACTATGGTGCAAGTTCATTCGTAAACTTTAATAACAAGAAAAAAAAACATTGAAATTTCAACTGAACAGAAAGTAGAATACGGATGACCACGTAAGCTTCAATTACTATATAAGCAAAGGGTATTAACCTAGAAATAGTACTTTTACCTGATTAGATGAGTGCAAAAGAAGGCATGAAACCTTAAAAATGAGAAGGAACTTCTTTATTCTTGAGAGAAACTCAAACAAGAAGAGAAAAATGGAGAAGAGAAGGGAGATAGCCTTTCAGTTTTGGGTCAGCATAATGTGATGTAGAAGAAAAGTTCAGAAGGTTATAAATGAGTACATACGTTGATATGGAACCTCTTTCATGAAGCAATCAATTTCCAACACCTACTGTGATATATTTCCTCAAGTTTCCTAGTCATGATTAATTTTCAATCACGCAAAAGCTCATACTTGTCTAACAGCTTGACCGTGTAAGAATATTACCAATCTCTCATCTTTTATTTGCCTTTCATGTTTTTTTTCTGATGTATGAATTCTAAATCATGATCAAGTAGTGAACTAGTTACAAATATTTGACCTGTACCTAAGATTAAAAGTCATACAAGAAAGGAAGAAACACAGAAAGGAACAAGCAAGCAGGAGGAAATGAAACCCTTCACTTGCAAGGTGAAACCCTCTAGAGGTGGGCTTTTAGACCGCAAAACTGAGATATAGAAGCAGTAAATATCTTCAAATTTTATGTGTTCATTTTCCTTGTAATTTGTGGGATGTCTGGATCATCCCCCCCCCCCCCACAACACACAAAAATAATAAAATAAATAAAAGACCAACCTAATCAGAAGGTAACTATTATGGCTCAAACGAAAAGTAATTAGCAGAAACCCGTGATTCATGCAACCCCTAAATCAATCAAAATTTCTATAGAAGAGGGAAAACAGTTTAAAGAAGGCAAGTATAACCAAAAGAATTCATCGGATCCGTAGATACAAACCATTCAGCGAATTAATTTCTTGATTCCTGAGCTTCCAACACCAGCACTTGCTTGAGATGATTATCAACTATGCCACAGCTTCCAAAACTTTTCTCAGATGATTAATAGAATTGATGTCGATGACGAGTTATATACTCTATCAATCGGGCTTCACTCGAACTTCCAAAATTCTGAGCTTAAGCAAGATTTAAGTTCTATTGTCAAAGTGAAGAAAAGATGTAGGAAAGAGAAGAGGGAGGGATATAGTTGGCTGATGGGAGGACAAGCAAGGAGAACTAAAACTTGTATTATTTTCTGGTCGTTTGTGATCGAAGTTCAACTCAAAGAAAAGGGGATCAAGTTTTCAGATGTTTCAAAAGAGTTAAATAGGTAATCCAAAGATTGAAATTCAACGTTGGACGGACAGTCCACTTGTGCTCATAATAAAGCAATAATTCTTCCATTATGAAATATGGATACAGACGAGACTGGTCCCTTTGGCTGGTTGAGAGAGTATCATGTGACTTTCTAAAGGGGTTATATTTTTTCTTGTGTTAGTCCTCTCTTTGACAGTTGTTCAAGGTAGGAATTAGGAATTAGGATCTTTCTATCTCTCTCTCTTGGTGGTGGCCTCTGATTAAATTAGTTTGTTTGACCTTTGTTGCAGACTCCTTCAATTAATTTATATGTGTATGGTGTTTGTTGAAATTTGAAAAATGTTGTATATTTAAATGTTGCTTATAATTAAATTGTGATTCTAATGTAGGGACAGAAATGGTTGCATTTTTCTTCTTTGACAGATCAAAAATGGTGTTGGAGATCAATCCACATAACTACAGAAGAATTTGCAGTCTTATCATGTAAAATGATTCAATTAATACACTTTTTCATCAAAAGTTTTGTTTGACAATCGTGTTGCATGCACAATCATATGAAAAAAATAAATGTATAATTAGATTGGGTCATCAAATGAAATGACTTAATTGATTAAAAAGCTTTTCACTCGCATATTTAAATATTTTTGGCACTCATATTTCATGACTAATCCAAGTAAACTTCAAAGATTTTCAGGACAAAGTTGATATAATTTTGAAATTATCTCTTCCAGTCCCATCAACTGGATGTGAATCTAAAGCATATCTCGTCATGGTTTTCTCTCTTTTTCATTTTTATATTTTTTCATGGACATGATGAAAATGAACTTAATTAAAGGTGAGAGGGAATCTGAAATCTAAATTATTAAGTACTAAAATTTTAACATTTGAGAGTATTCTATATTGATAAATAAATAACTTATCACTTATTGTTTTGAATACGTTTTGCCTAAACACTTTAGAATTACTAAATTAATTAAGACATTCTTTTTTTTTTTTGTTATCAAATACGTTTAAATATATTAAGGTATGAACCTATTAAATTTAAGTTCTAAATTGGATTATCAAATATGGCCATAGTCTCAAACTGGCTGAGGGTAGCTAGTATTGATTCTGGTTTAAGGAAACCTTAAACTCAATCCCAAGTTAATGGGGACGATAATGAGACACTAAACTGTGATTCTAAGGGGTGAATGCCATACTAGTGCATTCAATAGTCACTTGAGCCTCATCACTTATCTCACAGCAGTTTTCAATCCTAATACTGGAAACCACCGCTTTAATTGAGCCTCATTAGATACTAATGCAGCAATACTATAGAATTTCAGTATCTAAAGGTAACATCCTTTTCCGTTTGGGTCAAAAAAACAAAAAAGAATACTACTAGTTTAATATGGGACTGAATGTTAACAAGTTTGCTCAAACTAGTTGATTAGATTCAAAGAATTGAATTCTGAGTATGTATTTCTCGAAATTTTTGGGGTAACAAATGGAAGCTAAAAGTCCAAAATTAAGTCAATTTTGGTAGGACTTCCATATTCAAACTGGTAGAATTGACCCATTTGTCATAAGCAACTATTCAACAGTAAATGAAGCATGTTACCCTTCTACCTGCACTTTTGACAAACATCCGCACTGCCATAGAAGCAAGCGTAATTTGGACGTATGATCCAATAAAAAAAATCATATATAGAATTTTCCTCGTCATAGGAGTAATGGAAGATTGAAATCCCTTTCCTTCCCTGCTTTCAGGAAAAACGAGAAATTGAAATTTCAGTCTTAGGACTTTTGCTCCAATGAATGTAAAGAAAATAATGACTCCGGCAATGAAAAGTCATAAGCTTAATATACCAGTCTCGAAGCCATGAAGAGTCTTCTTTTGGTGCCATATTGACTTGGCTTGGACGGTGATTCACCTATTATAAACAGGCTAGATTTACGAAATACATTATTGACAACTTGATTTCAACAAATATATATATATATATTTATATATATATAATGGGAACCATGATTGCATTTCACCAAACAATTCTCATGAATTTGCCATTTTCTTCTAATTTTGATACTTTAAAGTGGAAAATTTGATTACATCGTATGCTGAAAGTAATTATTGTTACCTCTAACCCTATCTTTAAACTTAGAAGTGTCCCTTCTCAAACATGTTTCATTTGTTCAATGTGCACGGTCTGCATTCTTTGTGTAAATAGACCAGATTTTCTTTTTGGAAAGATAAATACAGTCCAGCTGATAATGATATGATTATAAACAAAAAATAAAAAAAAAAAAGATGAAGATAGATGGGTTGACGGAGAAAAAATGCATGCAGTACCAAATTTCTTCTCTACAGGGTCACCGAATTGCTTGAATTATAGAGCCAAATTTCCGTGCAAATAGGGAAATCCTGATATGAGTTGCCGAAGTTTTAATGCATTGTTAGTCAAGGAATTCTTTCCATAGTTGCATTTCAATGATTGACTCTATTTAACATATTTCATACATCCCTTGAGCCTTTACCGTGCTAATATGGTCTTCTAAACCAAATTGTAACCACAATTAATCTTTGAAAGGTCCGATTTGTTTCTTCTAACAAAAGTAGCTAGGTCAAACACCAACAAGCAAAAATGTCATAATGTGTATGTTGTCCACTTTCAAGCATGTGTACGCATGGAAATTGTCTACAAATTATATCCACAGAAATTCCAAGTTTTTGTCATAGGAACTGTTCTAGAATTGGACTAGGCGTCATGGGGGTTTTAAAAAATTAAGCATTAGAGGTACCTACATGCCTTAGAAAATTCTTGATTTCTTGTCTTCTCGTGCGCATGGGGATTGGAGAGAGTTGACCTCAAGTATTTTAAGACAATGGAATCTTTCAAAGAATCGTTTCATCATTTTTCCCATTAGTTATTTGTCATGGAAACAGACGTCCAACCTAAAAAAAAAAAAGAAGCATATGCATGCATATAATGATACGTCATGGTCCATAAAAATGGACCAAAATTTGCATGGGAGCATAAAGTAAATGAGAGCACCAGAATGATTGCTTTCAAATGAGGAATATATTATTCATAAGGGGAATTTTTGGTTTATTCTCGCTACTTTTCAGCATTCTATCTTCTGCATGGCTGCATCCAATAGTCCACCTCGATTTGGAATTTTGAGCATTTTGTATAGGGGTCAAATTGCAGTCTTTAATTAATCTTGGGCTGTTTTCTTAAATGTAAAATTCTAAAAAGGTGACCATGCACTTTGTCAAAACCTTTCAGAGAGGACACTGCTTTCCCTAGATTAATTCTTCTTGAGGGCCCCTCTCTTTCTTTGCATTTTAATTTGACCAAAAGCACTCATGGAGCAGCCAGCTCTTACCGGCCTAAATCAATAGGTCATGCTGATCACAAATCTAGATTGTGCATATAATTTTTGAACTTTGTCCCATTCAACACAACTTGTACCATGTGTATGAGCTGGATCATATAGTTTCTAATCAAACAATTACGTCAAGGTTTTTGCTTAATTTCAATATACAGATGAACCCAAATCCAGTTAAACTCTGTTTTTGCTTCTAGTTTTTGTTTCTTGCAATATATCCTTTATTTCTGCATTGCCCGCAACAACTTTAATTTATAGGTCAATCCTTTCTCCTATGCATGTCAATGTACGTAGGTCCAATTTCACTAGATAAAATTTGTCACGCAAGAGAATGAAAGATACAGAAAAAGGAAAAAAAAAAATGGAGACCTTAGAACATTGCAATTTGTCATGCGAGGAGCCGCAAATGCAGCAAGTTGAGCTCTTTGTTGCGTCATAGAGTTTAATAAATTAAATCTTGGGGAAAGTACCTTAACCCCCTTATATATGAACATCACCACTAACAATTCTTCAAAAGAAAGAAAAAAAAAAAAAGAAGATCACCACTAACAACTGTTTCAAGGGAACAACGTTCATAGCTTTCGGTTCAATTCAGGTTCAGCCGCAAAATGTCAAAGATGTTGGGGATTTTTCTGCCGACAGGGGGGAAAAAGGATGCTGTGATTAAGTAATTAATGTGCTCATGACTTTCGAATGTTTGCTTGCCATAAAATCAATTATGCATCTCATCTATATTACTATTAACAAATGCCCTTTTGTCCTGGGATTGGACTTTTTCTTGAACCATCAAATTCGAGATTTTGATTTAATCAACAAGATAAACGATACCAATGGTCATTGAACTTTTGGCCGTCTTTCTATCTAGTCTTCCAACTTTTAAAAGTGCCGATCACGACTCTTGACTTATGAATTTGGTTCTAAATATTCTTTCCAGTCCAGACCGTATAACAATTTTCACCTTGCCTCTAAGATTTGATTGAATGTCAATTCTCCTTTTCTAAGTTACGTAAATAGTAAGGCATAACTAGTTCTTTATACTAGCTTTTGTTAACTATTAATGGTTGACAAATTTGAGATAAAAGAAAATGACAACGCTATCTTTCTAACAATTGACATCCATAAATTTGTCAAATTTGGGCGGATCGATTTCATGGCTTCCGCTATCCTCTTCTAGCTTCCTCCTAGTATAAAATAAATTGTAAAAAAATAAAATTTATGATAGTCCTTTTTTCTAATTGATGTTAGTCTATTGCACTAAAACCTTCTTCTTCTTCTTTTTTTTTTTTTTTGGATTTAACTCTCCTATCCCTCCCCAAACCCTTCTTACTCCCAAGAGTTTCAACCAGGATTCTAACCCTGAATCTTTAAAAAAAAAAAAAAGGATTTTAAGACCCTCTTTTGACTACTGAGCCGATCCTAGTGGTTGTCCTAAAACTTCTTTGACAATGCGTTGACAGCTAATGTAAAACAATTTATAAAAATATACATCCATCACAAAACCTATTTGGTAAATTCAAGGATATTGGTGGTGATGTTTAGTTCTTTCTAAATATGGGGCTC